TCTTATATCATTTTTACTATGACAAATCACCTTATTAATGCCATGTATAAGATTAAATAGTTTCAAACATGAAGCAGAGGCTCGAAAAACAACCTGGCGTACTTCATATGCCACCCCTCTAAAATTGTACCATATGCTCCTCCAGCTGAGTCCCTCCAGCTGAGGGTTAATGATTCCTGCTCTCTTCAATTATTCACAGTGTTTATGCTTTTCCGATCATTGCGTAAAAGTAAATTAAACATTCAAAGTTCTTTGAAGTTCAACAACCGTTATCAGTAAAATGTGAAAAATGAAATAGTGTTCTGTGCTCTTTTGCATTTTCAGTGCTTCGTTGTGCTATTTCGGTGCTATTTTCATTCAAGGGATGGAATATTATCCAAAGTCATCAGAAGTGATATTGAAGTGGTATTAAGTTAACAAAGCCAGTTTTTAATTGAGTAAATTATGTTTTAAAATAACTTTGCATTATAAGTAATTTTGCATTTATAAATAATTGTATTGTTTTATGATTTATTGAGGGTTATATTTTGCTTAAATCATTTTAAGATGAAAGTTAATAATATAAAAAAATTTGACTTATTTATAATGCAGTTTGGTGTATTTGAGTTAAAAAATACTGAATTTGACAAAAATTAAAGAAATTTGAGGATTTCACTTAGGGAAGATTCCTAATACGATTAATGTTTTTGTACGATTGTTTTAATGTGTCTGAATTTATATTTTTGAATTTTTGCTGTATTTTAAAAGTGAAATTATTGTCTGAAAATTTTAAATTGTAGAAATTTCTTTAATGTTTTCAGTATGAACTTTGAAGGCTCCTACTTTAATTTTTTATATAGGACTTTTTTTAATATATATAATGGAGTGTGTATTCATATAATGGAGTATAATGGATAATTTTATAAAAAATAAATGGAATGTGCAGTTCAGAAAGCCAGTTGCCTTAAAACAAGGAATGGAGACCTTTATAAGTAACTGCCAAAGCAACCCTTAACCACTCATGAAAATTTAGTACACGAGTTCGTTAAAGTGGTGATGCCCAAATAGCTGGATATTTGTATACTAGAACTGGAGGGGAGCGGTCTTCTAGTTTGTTGTAAAATAAGAAAATTGCAAAATGTAATATTAAAAGTAAAAACCATAATTTCAGTAATGATATTACAAATGATAAAATTAGTTGTAATATTGTGTGCAAAATGTTTTGGAAATCCTTCCCTGAAATATCAGATTGTGATTGAATGTTCCAGAAACAAGACCTTTTTACAGATTGGACTCAATGAAGGACTCCATCTTAATAGGATTCTAAAAGTTTGCAATTATTTGAAAAAAAGTATAGTGCTTAAAATGTTATTATGGAATTCAAAATTTTCGATTTATAAATCTTCAGTTGTTCAGAAGTTAATTTTATGTTTTAAGTTTTCTGCATTTTCAAAATTATATCTGATATTTTGCTGCTCTAATGCTTTTTTCCTTAACAAGGCTTCTGTATTGCTCCACCTGTTTCTTTTTAAAAGGAGGAATGTGCAAGATAAAATATATGAAAGCAAACTTCTAATTTTCATTGGCTATAATCTTTTTTTTTTTTTTTTTTAATTTGGGGACTTCCTTTCTCTGTCTTAAAAATAATGCTAAGTCTAAACTGCATCATTGAAATTAATCATGTGATCCTACATAACACTTAATGCAGATACCTCTTGCCCAATCAAATAATCGTAAACCAAAACTTTTTAACTTGGAACTGAATGACTCCCTTCCCTATGCCCTTGAATTGCGGCACCCCTTTTTCGCTTAAGCTTTCTTCTTGGGAAGATGCTCCTCACTCCCGCTGAGGCATTATTTGCCTAAAATGATGCCGTACCGTAAAACCCGTGTACATGGAAATTATTGCATTCAAGTACGATTGAAAAATTGATAATCTGCAAGATGATGATTTGATATGCATAAAAATAGATTGCAAATCCTTCAAATCCGTTTGTGTCAGCATCATCTGTCCACTCGAGTATCGAAAGTTGTTAAAAGTTCTAGTACTTTCTTTATGTCTCAGTGTTCTTACACCAGTGCTTTCAAAATTTTGCTATCATTACATACATATATATAGTGGCTAATCAGCAATCAAGTTGGTCAACCACTAGTGTTAACTACCATTAAACACTGATGGTTCCACCCAAGTTAAGGAAGGAAAGTCGATTAACACTTCTCTTCATTGATCTGCATTACTGACTCCAACTGTGGGTAGTAATGAATAGCTTATGGTCTTTTTGGTAGCTGCTATTTTACATAATGCAATATTATTTCATTTGCTGCTTGAGATCCTGAATATCTTGATTTAAAATTGTAAAGAAAAATTTGGCACATTTGCCTAAGTTTTATGGATTTTTATTGTAGAATTCCTGAATAACATGTTGTGATAACATTCTTGTTTCCAATAGAAATGTATCGGTTATGTTCTGGAGGGTTTGAGATTGATCTGTTTGCTTTATCTAAAGCACCTTGGGTAAATTGTATTGTACAGCATAATAGTAAGCTGAAACTGGTGTACTCAGTTTTATCAATGCATAGGTCTTAACTGAAGAGTAATTTGGTTTATAATATTAATATTAGTTAGTTCAAAAATACATTAGAATTGACATCAAATTAAATAGGAAAAATACTAAAAAAATCTAAGTTTTTATTCCAGTTTCTGAAAAAATAATATTAACTTTTACAAAAAATATATGATAGGCAAATAGGTAATGACAATTTTATCTAATACATATCAAATAAATTTGTTCAAACAATTTTAAAACTTAGAATACATCAAAATAACAACAAACACAAAATAAAAATTCATAATACAAATGATGTCCACACCCTACGCATCAATGTGCAATAATGATGACTGTTACACCTTTAATGGCACCACCACACTGAAACTTTCAAAATACGTAAACAGTATGTATCCAGTTGGTTACACTATGCAGTAAGCTAAAATTTGTGTTTCCATTTGATTTACATGACTAAATATGAATATGGTGCCAAATGGCAACTGCATGCATTTAAGGGTTAATAACTGTATCATGAATCCATTCACCATGCCTAAATATGACCATGTCAAGTTTTTCTTCTTCTTTTTTTTTCTTTTGAGATAGCATATTGCTTTCAAAGGCAGTGTACTAATCAATATTTTTTAAAGTTTTTATTTATTTGAACTATACCTTATAGCAGATAACAATGGTCATTCTAACTCTGTTATATAACCCAAGGTTTTTGTACTATGTACATTTACTTTGACTACTCGGTGATTTCTGTTTGCAGGTTACAAAGTTTTTCAAAGAAATATCAAGTTGACTACTTTTTTTTTAATTACCCTGACTTCCAAAAGTTAGGTACAAAATGTATATAATTTTCAAAAGTATAGTTAAATTTGATTGCTGCAGATGCAGATGGCAGTACATAAATATTATATATTATGCCAATTATAATTGACTGTCCAAACATAATTAGACAGTCACAAGCATTCACAATGCTTTCAAGGAATGTCATTTAAAGCTTTAAACAAAGTGTTTTTAACTTGCATAGGATAATTAAATATATTCATGTTTTTGTGACCGAAAGAAGATAAACAGGAGATAGCCAATGCTGGTGTATTGTTGGATGCATTGAAGCAGGACTGTTAGTATAAAATATTACTGTTTTCTTTGGCATTGACCATTCAATAATTTTTTTAATGTGGAAGCATTTCCAAACAAGACTGTTGTCCACAGACCTGTGCCTCATCGACAAAGGGTTACCATGTTTTCTGAAGATCAGTATATTGCAATACTAGCCAAGCAACCTCCACAACTGTTATACGCACAGTTGCAGTGTCATTTTGTAAGATAATGTCTGCCGTACTATGCGCCAAAGCCTTCACGTGAAAAAACTGTATGCCTGGGTACCAAGTGTATATATTCCACTAACTGCTGAGTTCAGAAAGGCAGGATTAAAGTGGTGTCATTAATGTGACATGGACTATTCCATATTTACCCTGGAATCAGATAATAAGCATGTAAGAGTCTGGAGAAAATAAGACAAAAAGAATTATTCCCAGAACATCAGGCATCATGCATTCAGAAGGGACCACATCATGGTGTGGTTAGGGTGTCACACTAGCTGCACTTCTTTAAAGATGATTCTGTGATGGCTGCACAGTATCAGGATGAAATCCTACACTGCATTGTGAGATTTAACATTGCAGCAGTTGGTCTTCATCCTTATGGATGATAATGCCTATTCCCATCAAGCCAGCATTGTTAACAAGTACCAGAAGAGAGAGAGCATTTCTCATGTGGAGTGGTGCTTGTATTCCCTTGACATTAATGCTATTGAAAAGCTATGGGATGTATTTGGTTGTGCTGTCTTTGCACTTTACATCTTACAGCTAGTCTCAAGCTGTTCAAAACCGCTCTAGTAGAAGAATGGCATTTCTCATGTGGAGTGGCATTTGTGTTCCCTTGACATTAATGCTATTGAAAATCTGTGGGATGTATTTGGTGGTGCTGCCTTTGCACTCTACATCCTATGGCTAGTATCAGGCTGTTGAGAACAGCTCTAATAAAAGAATGGCCATTGCTATCATCTTTAATTGATCACTTTGTAGAAAGCATGGGAAATTTGCTGTAAAGCTTGTGTGAAAGTCCGGGGTGGGTACATACCTTCTTAAATGTAAGTTTTTCATATCATCTTTTAACATCAATTTGTCAATCATGACCCAATTGTAACTTCATCTAATGTATAAAAATTATATATATTTTTCATCTCTGTACGTAATAGTTATTTTTCCCCCTTGCATAAACACAATTGCTACTTTCACATGCAATTTAGTGTTAAAGTTTTACTTTTCCATTTCATGCTAAATTTTTGAATGCCAGTGTATCAGTATTCTGCTTAATTCCCATAAGCACATAGACCTAAAATCTTGCTTTTCTTAACTTGTATATGTTTTAATATAAAAACTTCTTTGAAAATTTTTGTGTTTGTAGTGCCAAAGTGGAATCAGCTCACAAAGAGTTCAAGAAAGCCATAGGAGCTGCAATATGCCGTTTTGATCCTGAGAAAAATTGTTTAACTATAATAGTAAGTTTTTTTTTTTTAATTTTAATCCTGGGAAAGAGTAGAAATGAATTCATGGTTTTAATGAATTCCAGTTTTTAAGTATTGTTGAATGTTTTACAAATAGTATACATCATAGGTTCCCAACTGTTTTTGGCCTAGTGCCTGCATTTAAGGGGAAAAAATCACTATTCCTTTTTTAAGGGGGATGCTTGTTCTTGAAATCAATAATGTAATCTATAGTTTTCTAGCTTTTCTGGGTCGTAATCCAACCTTTTTCAAACAGTGATTTGAGGGTGTCTCTTAGGTTAAGTATACCGTATTGTGAAACTGTGACAGACTTTTTAAATTATTTTATTAAACGATACTAACATTGATGTATTGCTCAAAGTTTGATTTAAAATGTATATTATGAAAAGAGTTAATATAATGTTACTAAGGTGAGGGCTGACTTTGTGTAATGACTCTAATTTTTCAATTTTTGGTGCCATATTTGTCCTCAACAATCTTAAATTGCCATGTTGCAAATTGACATGCATACAGAGGTGTACCTCATGCTGCATATTACTCATATAATACAGGGTTCGTAGTGGTCCTTACAAGTGCTTATAAGTCCTTATATTTGAAAATGAAATATAAAGGCCCTTATAGGTGCTTATGTTTTCTTTAAAGCCCTTATTTTTTGTTTTTAGTGCTTTTTTTAAATACTTTTTTTAATGAACGTGCATTTCCCCCCGCCCCTCCAGTACCAAACCGAAACTAAATAAACAACTTTTCTTCCTTATATGCAACGTCAGATGGTGAATCGTACTCCCGGAAATTGCTTTTCCCCCTTTCTCTGCATTAACATAACCTATGGTCCGTGCGAGAGTACAGACAGGTGCACGTCGTTTTATTGGTCAAAGAATTATGAAAATGGTAAAAAATTACGGTACATTCGGTGTTCTTTTTCTACCACCCAAATACTACACACATTTGAATTTCGATCAAGATTATAACAATTTGCATTCTCGTTCCGCGTGGTCAATTCATATTCGTGTTTATTATGATCGTTATGCTTATATTATGAGCATATGTATGAATATTTATAATAATATAGTTGCAGTAATTGTTGAAGTATAGATAAACTTCCAAAAATGGGTGTGTTTTTACACAGATTAGCTTTCTGAGTAAAAATATTTGGAATGGCTTTAAATAAAAGGAAAGTAATCGAATAGTCAAAATATTCCCCCCCCAAATACATTATACAGTACGGAGGTTGGGAGGTTCTCCCCTTTCTCTGCAAAATCTCTAATATTGAAGTAGTGGACTTTTTTTTTGTCACTGTCCAACCTGGATTAAATAGGACTAAAAGTTTTGTGGTCTACCCAACCCAAGCGAAGATTGATTCTATTTCGGAAATTTAACGCAGTCTGTTGAAAATTAAAATCAAAAACACCCCAGATTAGTAAGTCTCTTTCTTTTGCTTTATTTAGTTCTTTATTCTCCGAATACCGGCAGCTGTTGATTCCGATTGCGTAATATATCACATATGGAAGAATTACGCTGTACGTATTGCGCAATAACGTTTGCGTTATTTTGCAGAGACAATTAATTTTGATGTTCGGTCTGAGATTTGTTTATGAACACTTAAAAGAGTTTTACTGTGCTTTCTAAGCAGAATATTTCTCAGTTCCGTTGGTCTATTTTTATATGATGCACATATCGAAATATCAAAATCATTTATTTAGCCGAGAAATCTAAAGAACGGCTACAACTCCCCCAACTCCTCTTTTTCCAGTTACTGTCCGGAATATTCTGCAATTTCCGAGTATGCGGGTTAGTTAAGCTTTTACTGTTAAAGGATGACTGCATGAAGCATTTTCCCGTCTTCTGATTTCAGAAATGTGCCTCTTTTTTACTTAAATTACTTTGTTTGGAATATATGTTAAGGGAAAACTGTTATGCAATGAAAATTTAGAAAATGTTCAGAATTTTGATTTAAGTTAAATTATTTAAATATTAATATGAGTGGAAAAATAAATTGTATTAGGTGCTAAACGAATACAATTAATATGGCTTATTATTATTTATTTTCTATATTTTGAACTGAAATTTCATCATTAAATCTTGTAATATAGTTTAGTTCTGCATAGTTTTTTTCCTCTCATTGTAAACTAATTCTGTAAATTGAACTGTCATTTAAAATTTAAAAAAAAAAGTTGTTTTCCATGGTTGAGGTATTGCTCATTCCTTAATAAATATTGCATTGCTCATATTATAAATTACAAGTCTAATTTTTCTTTTAAGGTTATGCAGTTGTGTATAATGTAATTAGACAGGTGCTTATTTTTTCCTTAAAATGTGCTTGAAAAGTGTTTTATAGGTGCTTATTTTTTAACTAAAATGTGGCTACGAACCCTGTAATAGTTAAAAAAATATTACGAAGAGAATTATGAGCATAACCACCCAAACAGTCAAGATAGCCATGGTCTGTTTTCTATCCTATTAGAATATGCAATATTTAATGTGACTAAAAAAAATATCATTTGAATCCAGCCTTTTTGTTAATGGATGGGGGAGGAAATTGTTATGGATCTCATAGAAGTTCAAGCATTTGCTATTTTAAGCATACAGGTTAGTAAACAAGCTGCCTTTCTAAGGGTTAAAAGAATTAGAAATAATAAAATGCATCAGGATTTTTTTTTTTTTTTTTCGAAAACGGTACCCTAATCCCTAAACCCTCCCCGTGGTGCTTTTGTTTGGCGAATTTTTGAAAGTTTAAAAATAGCCCAAAAATCGAACGGAAATTCCCTACAGAAACTCCATTCGCGAATTTTAAAAATCCGAGATAGCCAAAATGTTGCTCTCGAAGAGTACATCAATTTTTAAAAAAAAAGTTTCTCTCTAGGCCCAATAGGACCCGACTTTCATAGGGTCAAAGTTCACGAATTTGACACATTTCGGCCGCGACAATTCCCTATAACCGTTGCACCGAATTTCAAACCGCTCACACAGTACTTCCCATTGAGACACATGAACAGGCTTCTTTCTGGTAGCTCAATTTTTAGGCTTTTTACAAAATCGACTTCAGTTTCGATCTTCACCAACAAAAAATGGAAATTTTAAATCGAACAGTACTGTTAATTTCCGTTCCCTTGTTTTGATTGCCAACCCTGGGCTAAAAGCCCTACTCCTAATTGAATAAATATGTTTCAAATTGCTGCACGTAAAAATAGAGTACATATGTACATAAGTTTTTTTTATATATAAAAGTTGAGATAAAAATTGTAATTATCTAGATTATGAATCTGAATAGATTAAAGTGTACAAGAATTTGATAAATTATCTGAGAAATGCCAACTGGGAAAGCAAGATACATATCGAGCCGGTGATAACACCTGTTACATCACACTAAACATATATAAATAAATATACATTACGGTATGTCATAACATGAATAATTAAACAAATGAGAAGTAAACATAAGAGAACAGTTATACATAGATGCAGTACACAGTAATTAATCTGATTATTAAGAATGGCCATATTCCATTTACTATAATTGGGATCATTGACATTGTAATTATATACACTTTTGAATTAATTTTTTATCATTATAAAACTGCTGAGCAGTACGACAGTGGAAAGTTCTTAACAGCTCAATATGTAGTTCTTCATGTAACTTGTGGTTCCTCACATATAGAGTGTCAGTGATTTGCCTCAAAACACTAATTTGGGGAGCTTGTAGCTTTTTCCTAAGAGATTTACATGAATAAGCCCATACCAGGCAGGTATAGCATACATAATATGGAACATAACATGGACATATAAATGAGTAACTTGTTGTCTATACAAAGAATACTGTTTCAAGCTATTAAGAGGAATAGTGTATGTTTACTCACTCGAAACTTTCTGATAGTAGATATAATGTGTGGGGAACATGAGAAAGTTTTACTGAGGATCACTCCAAGATAAAAAGACTTGTTTGCTCCAGGGGGTTGAAACTCTGTAAAGTTGCAGATTTTTCTTGAACTTGTTCTTAGTGAAGAGGATAGCTTGTGTTCTTTCTATGTTCACTTTGATTTTCCACTTGTTGAGCCAAGTCTCAAGTGTGTGTATGTAATCTTGTAATCGTTGTATAACTGGACTAACATATGCACTTTGTGAGAGGATCGCAATGTCATCAGCATAAATTGCAAGTGTTGTGTTGAGTGTAATGGGGATGTCATTTGCATAAATATTAAAAAGGGACCCTGGCCTGGATGGTCCAGTGAGTAGAGTGAGCCTGTAACGTAAAGGAAAAAGTGTCTACCAGCTAGGTAGGATTTAATTATGTTAGTGATGCACTGTGGGAAACCAAACCCAAGAATGTGTAACTTGTATATGAGGGCATCTAGCCATACACAGTCGAAAACTTTTGCTACCTTTAGACATAAGCCACCAGTGACCTTGTGCAGGAGTCCTTCGCTAATCATTCTCTTAACCCTGTAGAGCTGGTGAGTAGTCAAGTGTTGACTCATGAAACTGAATTGATATGGAATTAGTAGATTGTTACTCACGATGTGTTGGTCAACTCTTAATAATATGATAGCCTCAACAATTTTGCTCAGAGATGAAAGTAGGATGATTGGGTAATAAGATTCTGGAGCACTTGGAGGCTTTTGAAGCTTGAGGATGGGAGTGATTTTTGCGATCTTCCAGCATTCAGCGAAGTGTTGCCACTTCAGGATCAGATTACTATTATCATGAACAGGATGACTTTGTTTGATCATACAGTTATTGATTTTGTCGTAGCCCGGGCTTTTGTTCTTTTTCATAGATTCCTGAAATGTACAAAATTTGTATCTTTAGTGTAGCAGCTTATCGCAGTCCATTAAGAAATAAAGAATAGATGAGTGAAATTTTTTAAACTAAAAGTGCTTTCTGGTGACCTGAGCTGTAAATGACAGACAAGTAGCATATTGCAACACATAATGGCAAAACTGACAGGTTCTTCATGATTTGTATGTGTAAATTAATTTCTAGTTTCTCTTCTGTAGAAA